AAGTTTCTTTCTATTAAAATAAAATTACAAAGAGAGTTGGCAAGCAAACAAAGAAAATACTAGTAAAAAAGAAAGAAGTATAAGAAAAGATTAAAATGGAAAGAGAAAAAGTAAGGAAATGAAACAAGTACAATATGGGCCCCACAATGTACAAATGGCAGCCAAAAAACGCCTCACACAACTAACACTATGTGCGCCTCACCCATAATAAAATTTTTCACTTTGAATCCCCAATTAGGAAAGCATACATAAATTGCATATGATGACTTTCCCAATAAAGGTAGACTCTTTCAAAGTTCAAATTACAAAATAAGCCATGCAAATATCTTTTGACCGTATCGAAAAATACTCCCTGAATTTAACACAATTTATTAATTTCATTCCTGAAGCATTGACAACCTTCAAATCATTCCTCTACATGACTAACTAAATTTAGATACACCCCTTATTTGCAACATGACATAGTAAGTGGTCTCAAACTCTTGTAGGAGCATGAGACTTTTAATAAAAAGTCAAGAGAAGTGTTGAAAAAACCTCATAAAATTGACGAGAATTTAGAGGTGTATTTCACTCATGTTGCAAAATCGAGGTTGTATTTAAGTTTGGCATAATACATATATTGGACCTTAAACTTGGCTTCAAATTTTAACTTTGACCTCCAACTTTCATAGTGCACAAACAAGCACTTTAACTATCCAATCTTTTAATAAATAAACACGCGTGTCTTACCTGGCAAAACGCGTGATGTGCACGCATTTTGCGCGAGTGAGAAGTAATTTTTGAGGCACACAACAGTGAAAAAAATGACTGAAATGACAACTCTACCCTTATTTAATTTTTATTTTTTTTTAGTTCTAGAATGGACGTGTAAAGTGTTTAATTAGTTGGCAGCCATTGAGTGGCTCGCTAATACACGTGGCAGCGTTTGCATTTCACGCGCTTGGCTCCAAAAATCGCGTGTTTATTTATTAAAAGATTGGATAGTTAAAGTGCTTGTTTGTGCACTATGAAAGTTGGAGGTCAAAGTTAAAATTTGAAGCCAAGTTTAAGGTCAAATATATGTATTATCCCTTTAAGTTAAGTTAGTCAAGTAAAAAATATTTTTAAGACTATCAATAGTTCGAGGATGAAACTAATAATCAATACTTTTCTCTATTTTATATATATAATAAAAGAATATTGACTATCTGCAGATTCTGCACTAGAAGTTAGAATAAGCCAAGTAATATAAAATGGGGAAACTCCAATTTCTATTTCATCAGAGAGATACAGCAAATCTTTCTCAAGATTCTCATGGAAAATATATATTATAACTTAAATTCTTTGATTAAATGTTCTCTAAACAATAGACTGCCCCGTGTATAGTGATGCCATGCAATTTACTAATTCAAGTTTCTGATTACATAATTTTCGTCAAATTAAAGAAACAGTCTTGAGATCTTGTCAACCTCACTTCCTTTTTACCATTTCCTCCCATTATGAATGATCTTAATCAGAAGTGAGATTCAAGATTTGAAATTTATGGATTCTTACACAGACTGTAAGATAGTACTATACGATAATAACTGGGGTCATAAGGAAATATTTGTAAATCTTTAGTGAATTCCTTAATAGGTAGGGATAAAAGCTATTGAATTCACCTGAACGCATACATTACATGTTAGATTCGCCAATTCGACTATAACACTTCACATTCTTTTGTCAAGCATCTATTCGGCGGAGGTTATATACATTCGAATGATGACATTATATCATGATTTTAGTCTTTAATATTCTTGAATAATGAATATACAAGGCTTATTAATCCAAGTAACTTATTTAACTATCACTACAGAATCCCACAACCAATGATTTCCCTTTAGCAATGAATTGCAGTCAAGTTCAGCAACATTCAATATTAAAAAAAAACGTCTCAAACATATTACGTATAAATGTTGATCATTGACATTGAACTCTAGATTATATATTCCAGTGCTAATACATGATACCTCATTGCCTTATATTATAGAAGTATATATAGATGTCATTTGAAAAACAAAAAAAACTCAGGCACTCAAATTCCCCACACAAATAGAAGCTAGAGAAGTTGCACAAAATGGTTTCCATGACTATTATTATAGAATTGCTAGTTTTGTTAACGTACCTCTTGGATACTAATGCATCGAACATTTCAACTGATGAGGCTGCTCTTTTAGCTTTCAAAGCTCATATAACTTCAGATCCAAATGGAATGTTGTCGAAAAACTGGACCAAAGGGACTCACGTTTGCAATTGGATAGGCATATCTTGCAGTATAAGGCATCAAAGAGTGACATCACTAGACCTCAACGGCCTCAGACTAAGAGGTTCAATTGCCACAGAAATTGGGAACCTCTCATTTCTTAGTTTCCTGGACATTGGCAACAACAGCATCCACAGCAAAATCCCTGATGAACTCGGCTATTTGAGGAGGCTAAAGTACTTGTCCTTGTCAATGAATAATCTCACAGGTCAAATTCCAGCAAGTCTAGGATTACTGAGAAGGCTCGAATCACTTGATCTTTCTGAAAATGATCTCCTTGGATCTGTTCCTTCATCTATCTTCAATGTCTCTTCTTTGAAGGTCATCAATTTGATTTATAATGCACTGTCTGGGACTTTGCCGAATGACATTTGCCATAATCTTCCGCGGCTGGAGGGATTACAAATAGCAAGAAATCAACTCTCTGGCCAACTACCAAGCAACTTAAACAAATGCAAAGAGCTTACATACTTGTCCTTGTCATATAACCAGTTCACAGGTAAAAATACTGAACCAATTTCTTTTTCTGCTACTTTTGGTTCATATTGACAATAAAGATTGCAACAATTTTTAGTGAAAACAATGATAAGCTGTTGAGAGGTATAACTTATTGTAACGTCTATTACAGGAAACTTGCCTAGAGACATGTGGAACTTGACAAAACTTCAACATCTATTTCTTGGATGGAATAACATAACAGGTACTTATAATGTTCTAGTTTAACTGAATCTGCCTACAACTGCATTTATTGCTGGACTTCTCACCTCGTAGCACTAGAGATCTTTGACATTTCCTAACTTGCTCTTCAAGTCATTTATATGAAATTAGTATTTGCATTTCAAAGGGTAGTAGCAGAAAATGTTAGTATAGCTCTTTGTTCTTCATTTTCAAACAACAACAGCAACTACTCCATAGGTTCAATGCTAGTTTGTGATGTGAATCCTCATTATCCATGTTGATCCATTTAGTCCCATCTTCAAGAGGACGTTAAAACAGATTGCGAGGATTGCTGAACTATTTAAAAGGCATACAACTAACAGTTTTCTGTTATTTATAGTAACTTATTGACTGTAAAGCTGTTATACAGTATTGGACATTTCAGTGTAGTAACCACACAATTCGTCATATATTTTACAGGACATATACCAAGTGAAATTGATAACCTATCAGCAATTCGAAGATTAAGTCTACGACGGAACAATTTGGTGGGAAGTCTTCCACCATCTATTGGAAATTTGTCAAATCTAGAGATGATAGACCTAGGTGACAACAGTCTATATGGTGGCATTCCTCAGGAGTTTGAACATCTTGTAAATTTGAAAGAAGTGTATCTTGGTCCAAACAGATTATCGGGTGAAGTTCCAAGGCGTATGTACAACATTTCTGGACTAAAAAAGATTTCATTTGTAGCAAATACGCTTTCAGGAACACTTCCCCCAAACATAGGCCATACTCTTCCAAATCTTGAAGGCCTTTACCTTGGGGAAAACCAGTTCACCGGGCTGATTCCTACCTCCATTGTGAATTCCACCAAGCTTATCCAGCTTGATTTTGGTCGCAATCTGTTTAGTGGACCTGTACCTATGAATCTTGGAAAGCTACAACAGCTTCAATTCATCAACTTGCAAGTAAACCAATTGACGAATGATCAATCTACAGGCGAGTTAAGTTTCCTGACTTCATTATCTAATTGCAAGTATTTGAAAACCGTTCAAATAGGAGGTAATCAATTTAATGGAAGTCTTCCAAAATCTCTAGGTTCAGGAAACTGGTCCTTTTCCCTTGAATATTTCATTGCCATTCAAAGTGGTATCACAGGAAAAATTCCAACTAACATCAGTAACTTTAGGAACTTGGAGTGGTTAACATTGGGAGACAATAAGCTTATAGGATCTATTCCTCCAGATTTGGGGAACTTGAGGAATTTGAAAAGATTTAGCCTGGAGAAAAACAATTTAGATGGTATTATACCAACTAGCTTGTGTAACATGGAAAACTTGTACCAAATTATCTTGGGGAAAAATCAACTTTCTGGTGAATTACCAAGTTGTTTTGGGAATCTTTCTTCTTTAAGAGAATTCTACTTAGATTCCAATACACTAATTTCCCATATTCCATCAACTTTTTGGAGGAACAGAGATATTTCAATTCTCACTTTGTCCTCCAATTTGCTGAATGGGTCTCTTGCAGTAGAAATGGGGAATTTAAGGAGTTTGCGGATATTACATTTACATGGTAATCAGTTCTCTGGTCAGATTCCTAGCACAATTGGCCAACTACAAAATTTGGTTAGCCTTTCATTGTCAAAGAATATGTTAGATGGTTCCATACCTGAACTATTTGAAGATTTGGTTTCATTGGAACACTTGGATCTATCTAGCAACAATCTATCAGGCATGATCCCCAAGTCCTTGAGGAATCTTGAACATCTCATTTATTTCAATGTCTCGTTCAATGGGCTCATGGGTGAAATTCCAGATGAGGCCATTCGTAAATTTTACAGCTGAATCATTCATCGGTAACCCTGCATTATGTGGATCATCACGCTTCCATGTGATGCAATGCAGAGCCACAAGTCTTGAAAGAAAAAGAAAGAGTAGAGTCTTAACTTCTGTTCTTGCATCAGTTTCCTCAGGAGTTGTAGTCACAACCATTTTCATCATTTGGTTTCTGAAATGCCGAAAAAGGGGTACGGAACTTCCTCTAGTTGATACATTTGGTCAGGTACATAAGAGGATTTCGTACTATGATATTTCTCAAGGGACAAACAACTTTGATGAAGCAAACTTGATTGGAAGGGGTAGCCTTGGTTTGGTGTACAAAGGGACACTAGCAGATGGAATGGTTGTGGCAATAAAGGTATTCAATACAGAACTGCAACACGCATTTAGGAGTTTTGAAGTGGAGTGTCAAGTTTTACGTAGCATTCGACACAGAAACCTTGTTAAGGTGATAAGTAGTTGTGCCAATTTTGATTATAAAGTGTTGGTGCTAGAGTACATGCCCAATGAAAACCTCGAATGTTGGCTTCACTCTACTGACAAATTATTGGATTTAACTCAAAGACTAAAGGTGATGATTGATGTGGCTTCTGCTGTGGAGTATTTACATGGAGGTCATTTGTTTGTAGCCGTCCATTGTGATTTGAAACCAAGTAACATACTTTTGGATGGAGATATGGTGGCAAAAGTGAGTGACTTTGGGATATCCAAACTTCTAACAGCTGAGACGCTAATAGCACATACCAAGACTTTGGGTACTATCGGCTACATGGCACCAGGTAAATGTTATTATCATGTTCATTTGAAGATTTTAAATGACGTTAATTATTTTCACTAATGATTGCGTGATTTTTTTGCAGAGTATGGATCAGAAGGCAAAGTATCAACCATGGGAGATGTTTATAGCTTTGGTATTTTGTTAATAGAGACTTTTACAAGAAAGAGCCCCGTGGATGATCTATTCGTTGGAGACTTCACCTTGAAAAGATGGATATGCCAATCATTACCAAACCGAGTGGTGGATGTAGTGGACATTAATCTATTTTCACTGGACGAAGAAAATCTTACTTCTAAAGAGAGATGCTTCAAATCAATCATGGAATTAGCTCTTGAATGCACAAACGATTTGCCTGAAGAGAGAATTTGCATGGAAGATATTACTCTGCGACTCAAGAAGATCCTAACTCAATTTCTGCAAAATGTTGTAACAAACTAAATGGTAGTGCTGAAATCTATAGTGGAACTGTCACATCTTTTCTTCACACGCACAAATAGTTGGACTAGTACGTAGAACTTCAACAGATTTAAGGATAGCCCCACCCCTCTATCCTTCTCCATTTAAATACTAGGATTTTTCTATGTGGTAGGGTTCGAACCGTGATGTGCACCTACCTACCATACAAAAAATTTGAATGCTTAAAGAGATCTTGTTAACTGATTACCCAGAAAAAATGATCACTAGATTGGAGACTGAAACTATTTGCCTCACAATACACAAGATAATTTGCAATTTCATTCACACTAGCATTTCTATGAAATATTAGCTGATAGAAGCAGTATTAATACACAAAATACTTACAGTATTAATCCCATTCTCTCCTGCAGCATTTGGCAAAAAGACACATGGGCCGGGCGCCCGGGCCACGACAATATGATCATCTCCCTCCTCAGTATGAAGGTGATCTGTTGTAAACTTGTTACTAGTCACTAGAGCCAAGATGATATTTTTGGTGATTGGAAGGCTAAAATGACTTTGTAACAAAAAATCCCTAAAATCTAAACCATAATTATACAGAGGATTGCTGTGATTTGAAAGCATCGAACCAGAGAACCGTAATGGTCAACCTAGTTTCCCTCTACTCTCGAATTCCATGGACATTTCTCTAGAAATTCTCGCATTTTCCTAGAACCAAACAGTCCCTATTCAACACAGATTTTCTTACAAGATGCTGCTAATCTTACGAATTTGCTACAGATTTATGCAGCAGAGCTTCAATAAGATGAAAGAAGCTGTCAATGTATCCCAAGAAACAGAGATATGAACACTCAAATTATATAATACGTGAATATGCCCCGTAACTTAGCTTTCTGGACATCTATATTCTTCAACTTTGAAGGAAGGTGTACTAATAACTGCTTAAATTTGTATAAAACTAAATAGTAAAGATGCATGTTTTATGTGACATAATATATGCAAAACGTGATATAAAACAGAAAATTATCATGTAGAATATTACTACATAGGAAAAATATGTTTATTTATTAAAAGGCGTACATATCGATTGATGTCAAATTAAATAACATATTTATATATTATGTCAACTCATTGGGTTTGGTGGTGGTGAGTAAGACGGGAAGGAGAATTAAGGTGGGGGCATGGCAATTTAACGGATCCAAGGTAAATATGACATAAAAGATGGATGATAAAAATATGTTGAAAATTCTAGTGTTGAGTAAATATAACTTTTTTTTTAGAGTATCAAGACAAATCTAATCTTTTTAGTTCTTATATTGTATTAATTATGGGTGGAGTTGGGATAAATAATAGGAGGAATCTGTTTGAGGGATTCCAGAGTGCTCCATCGTGGAGCTTATAGCGGCTAAATCTTATTTTTGATAGATCACTATTGAATTGCATCAAATTCTTAATTCGAACTTTATATAAAGAAATTTAAATAAATCAATAACCAATTTTAAAATAATTATTGAATAAAAAGATATTATTAAACAAATCATAAACTTTAAAATTCAAGTTGTATAAAATTTTCTTTAACAAAAGTTTTCTATATATTACAAAATTTCTATACTCTCTTAGAATTGGTTTTAGGCTTCTAGTATTCTACTCTTCGACAATTCTAAGTTTGCATCACTAGTCCCACCGTCCCTATTGTCATGGGATATAATAAGTTTGCAAAATTGAATTGACGATGAATCTTGAAAAGTGTCTTATGTAAAAAAGAATTTTAAAAAATCGTATTATTTCTAATGAGTTTATAATTATAAAATGCACGAAAATTAAAGATGAAATTCAGTCGAATGCAATTGTGATGATACACTATTAGAAACAAATGATTTTTCTATCACGAATCAATATAAATTATGTTATAAAATATAATTATTTCATTCATTTTCTATTGAACCATCTCATTGGAAAACACACGATAAATTTTTTGTTGAAATACTAGATAACTTTCTATTTTTTTCCATACAAGAATTTTTTTTTTTTAGATAAGGCACAAGTACCCCTAGACTATGATTGAAATCATAGAGGCACACCTAAATTAAACTATGGTCCTATTATCCCCTCAAATCCATTTTTTTGTAATTTTGTACACCTTTTTGACTTATGTGGCATCCAAACATCTCCCATGTGCCTCAACTATGTGGAATCACGGAGTGTGTAAGCCAAAAGGTGTATAAAATTACAAAAAAAAAAAAAAAAATGAGTTCAAAGAGGTAAATAGGACCTTAGTTTAGTTAAGGTGTATCTCAGAGACTTCGGTCAAAGTCTAGGGATACTTATGCCTTATACCTTTTTTTTTTCACAGATTCAATTAAAATATAAGTTTCCGAATAAAGGTAGAGACTCCTTCAAAGTGTAACATAATCCAATGCAGATTTCTTTTGACTTTTTTTATTTTTTATATATAAACAATACTTATTGACTATCTGCAGATTCTGCAAGAAGTTAGAATAAGTCTAGTAACATAAAATTGGGTAACTTCAATTTCTGTTTCATCAACAGAGAGATGCAGCAAATCTTTCTCAAGATTCTCATGGATAATATATATATTTATAACTTAAACTATTTGATTAAATGTTCTCTGAAGAATAGAGTGCATACAAAACTAACTTATATATACTCGCAAAAGTATCTTTGAATGATTCTGCCTCGTGTACACTGTGTAACATAATCCAATGCAGATTTCTTTTGACTTTTTTTATTTTTTATATATAAACAATACTTATTGACTATCTGCAGATTCTGCAAGAAGTTAGAATAAGTCTAGTAACATAAAATTGGGTAACTTCAATTTCTGTTTCATCAACAGAGAGATGCAGCAAATCTTTCTCAAGATTCTCATGGATAATATATATATTTATAACTTAAACTATTTGATTAAATGTTCTCTGAAGAATAGAGTGCATACAAAACTAACTTATATATACTCGCAAAAGTATCTTTGAATGATTCTGCCTCGTGTACACTGATGCCATGCAATTTACTAATTCAAGTTTCTAATCATTACATATTTTTTGTCAAATTAAGAAACAGTCTTGGGTCAAGTCAAACTGACTCCCTTTTTACCGTTTCCTTCCGTTACGAATGTCCTTAATAATTCATGAGAAAAGCAAGAATCTCACTTAATCAGCACAAATTCAAGTTAACGAATTCTTAATACATATAAAAGATTTAGACAAAAGCTATTAGATTCACGTGAATCATACACTACATGTTAGATTCGCCGATTTGACATTCTTTGGTCAAACATCTATTCGGTGGAGGTTATATACATTTGAATGATGACATTATACTATAGCCTAAAACTACAACAGTTTAGTCGTGATTTGATTTTATTCTTTTCTTGAATCATGAATATACAAGGCATATAAATCCAAGTAAATTATATTTAATTATCACTACAGAATTCCACAACCAATGGTTTCCCTTGAGCAATGAATTGCAGTCAAGTTCACCAACATACAAAAAAAAAAAAAAAGAGAATGTTTCAAACATATTACGTATATATTAGAAGTATACACAGTATATATAGATGGCATTTGAAAAAGAAAAACTCAGATACTTCCTAATTCCCTACACAAATATATAGCTGCTAAAGAAGTTGCACAAAATGGTTTCCAGGACTATAATTATAGCATTCCTAGTTTTGTTAATGTACCTCTCAGTTACGAATGCATCGAACATTTCAACTGATGAGGCTTCTCTTTTAGCTTTCAAAGCACAGATAACTTCAGACCCCAATGGAATATTGTCAAAAAACTGGACAAAAGGAACTCACATTTGCAATTGGATAGGCATATCTTGCAGTAAAAAGCATCAAAGAGTGACATCATTAGTCCTCACAAGCTTTGGATTTAGAGGTTCAATAGCAATAGAAATTGGGAACCTCTCCTTCCTTAACAAGTTGGATGTTGGAAACAACAGTTTCCACGGCCAAATCCCCGATGAAATCGGGAGTCTGAGGCGTTTAAACTTCTTGTCTTTGCAAATGAATAATCTCACTGGTCAAATCCCAGAAAGCCTTGGATTTCTCACAAGGCTTCAACTTCTTGATCTTTCTGAAAATGATCTATTTGGAAATGTTCCATTTTCCATTTCCAATGTGTCTTCCTTAAAGATCATTGATTTGGGATTTAATCGGATTAGTGGGAATCTCCCAAGGGGATTTTGTACTAGGCTTCCAAATCTGCAAGGTTTATTTCTCTCAAAAAATCAATTAGCAGGCCAAATCCCAAGTGGGCTGAATCAATGCACACAACTTATTTACCTTTCCTTGTCATATAATCAGCTCACAGGTAATTAGTAATGTTAATTCAATTCTTGGACTATATATACTTGATTCAGAATCATTTAATCCTTCTACAATGTTCTGAGGCTATCTGATTGTGTTCATATATGTATTAACAGGAAGTTTGCCAAGAGACATGTGGAATTTGACAAAGCTTCGAGAATTATATCTTGGATGGAATAGCATAACAGGTATCTTGGTTCTAAGTCTAATAATTTCTAGTTAATTAGAAATTGTAGCAGTAGCAAAAAATGTTCATATAGCTCTTTGTTATTGATTTTCAAACAACAATGACTACTACTACATTGGCTCAATGCTAGTTTGTGTCAACTTTATGAATCCTCATTATCTGCATTAATCCATTTAGTCCCCATCTCAGTCCAAGGTTCAATAATTTAAGTTTTCTAACATTAAAATTTCTATATATTTTCTGTTAACATACAAATATCTGACAAGATTAAAAGCATCCTAGCAAACATTGAGTAAGTTGGAGGTACCAACATGATTAAGCTTTAATATCAACTAGTTGGTATCACCTTTATGGATCTTACTATTCCATTTTGCTCTACTTTTCGCTGAGTCAAAATGGATTCTAACATATAGTTGGTCTTTCTTTCAACTTCCTCCCATGTGATTTTAGATCTACCTTGTTCCTTTTTTAAGCAAATCCAATCACCATATATAGTTTCATACCTGCAGACCAGTGCATCTAGAGATCTATGTAAGACTTAACTATCTCAGAGCTACTTAACCAATTGCTAACCATGGTAGTTTCTAATGTCTCATCTCAAGTGACTCACACATCCATCTTAATATAGATAATTGACTGACGATTTTAAGTTTCCTTTCTTCAGTTACCATATAAGAAGAGAGGAAAAGAGAATAGCAGAAGTAAATGAATAGTTCTCATGTTGCCAATATTTAAAATTTAAATGCCCTAATTAACAGAAAACCTTTCCTAGGCTTGTTATTGTTCGTCTTCAAGAGGACGTTGAAACAGAATACAAGGATTGCCGAACTATCCGTGATTCTAATTCTCTTACACAATATTGTACGTTTTAGGGTTGTAACCACACAATTTAATATATATTTTACAGGACATATCCCAAGTGAAATTGATAACCTATCAGCAATTCGAAGATTAAGTCTACCACGGAACAATTTGGTGGGAATTCTTCCACCATGTATGGGAAATTTGTCAAATGTAGAGGTGATAGACCTAGGTCAGAACAGTCTACATGGTGGCATTCCCCTAGAATTTAAACATCTTGTAAATTTGAAAGGATTGTTTCTTGGTCAAAACAGATTATCGGGTGAAGTTCCACAGCCTATGTACAACATTTCTGGACTAGAAATGATTTCATTTGTAGGAAATGGGCTCTCGGGAACACTTCCCTCAAACATAGGCCATACCCTTCCAAATCTTGTCGGCCTCTATTTTGGGAACAACCAATTTACCGGGCAGATTCCTACTTCCATTGTGAATTCCACCAAGCTTATCCAGCTTGATT